CTGCTCCAGAGTCTGGAACTGAACGCCCTACACCGCGATGCTCATTTCGCACCAACCTCTCTCCTACAGAGCGACACAAACCCCACTTTTTGCTGCTCTGAATTAACCCGATTTGCTTTAGATTACGCCTGCTGCTATCCATTCTTCCTAGCTGCAGCCTGGTCCTGGGCCATATTCTAGGGAGAGCAGCTTCCAGTTCCAAATCAGGCCTAAAACTGAGCCTAAAAACACAGCTTTACACAGGGAAATTTGAAGCCATAATTCCCACATCAAGCCATGACGTTGGCACCTTACCTCGAATCCTGTTACAAACCTCTGCTTTGAAGCAAAGTCTGTGTTTGCTCACATTAGCGGAGCTGACCAGCTTGAAAAAAGCAAGCTACTTAAACATTCATGTCAAACTACACCACTGAAAAGCAAATACAAGTGTAAAATATTTCAGAATAGTGATGTTAGAGTAAAAGGAGTCAACAGCACAGTGTGGGGTACAGCTCAGACGGCTACTGAGCTCCAGCGGACCCCTGATACACACACTGCAGTCTTGGCAGCACTCCGAGTGTCCTCCACCCCAGAAAACCCTGCTGAAAGAATGCACGCTTTCCGAACAAGCACAAAGTAAATTTTCCTCCTTTGGAACTGATAGGCAGAGTTCATGGAACAATCTGTGCTTTCCCCTCCACCCCCACCAGTAAGACACATGCTGAACTCCTCCTCCTTTCCAGGAAGGCTGAACCACCCACACCTTCAGAATTCCTGATAGGTGACTCTTCTCCCACGGCCAGAATATCCCATCTGCTCCTCCCAGGACAGCTGTATTGGACCCCCCCTCCCTCCTTCTAAAAAGGGAACACCTACTATTGGAAACATCCTGATTTCACCTTCAGAAGCAAGAAGGAATGTTAACAGTATGTTCTTTTGAACAACTGCAGGTACCTTCCTCTCCACCGCGATAACGAAAATCATTCCAGCACATTACTTGCAGCCTGAAATGCTGCCTTAATGCTTTTCAGGCTCCAGGCTTGAACAGTTTTTCTCTTATAGAATGTGCATTAAAGTTTCACAAGTTTGAAACATATGTTTAGGGAAAACATGACTTCGGTCATAGCTTCAGTTCCACGCTCCCAGCGAGTGCCCTGCGCTGGTGTGCACGGCACGGTGATCCGTGTGCTTATTGCTCCTGCCCACCCGGTGTCTGTTTGCCATTACAGGGATACACATCTTCCCTTGACACATTTCCAGGCAATTTTTTAATCACCCTTTAGAGGCAGCCTGGCAATGGGAAAAGCCACTTCTTGGCTGAACTGCAGCCTCCAGTTGTTCCAGGTGCTCCGAGTGGTATCCGTAAGTTCAGTTTGTGATTATTAACACAAGACAGCTCTCTCCAGAAAAACATGCTTTCTTATCTGGGTCCATCCCTTTGGGTAAAAAAGAAAACACAGAGCCTGCCAAGAAGAAAAGGCGTTCAGGACTCTCCATCTGCTGTTGTTCAGAAACGTGCCATGCAGCACTGCAGTCCAGAGAAGGAAAATCCACTAATTCACAAGCAAGTGCAGATCAAACCCACCACACAGCGTCAGAGCACTGCTCCCTCCCTGCTCCTCTCGCCCCGCTGGCACCACTGCCCGGCACGGCTCGCAGAGCTCCTTCCTTCGCACTGACGCAACGGCGCAGTACAGTGACAGCAGGATGAGGATGAGGAAACACCAGCCACTCAGCAAAAAGTTCTCAAGTGACTGGTATGAAGGTTTCTAGGCTGGATGCCAGGAAAAACAGCAGCAGCATCCCGCAGCCATTTCAGCAGCGCCCACTGCGGCTCCCTGGGCACAAGATGGCCCCACCTCTGAGTCCCGGGCGCTCCAGGGCACTCCAGCCTGCACCCCGCAGGCTGCCAATGAAGAGGGCAAAAGGACACAGTTTTTCTTCCCCAGAAGCAGGGGAAAAGTGCGAGATGGCTGATTGTCTTTTTTTTTTTTTAAAGGCACTGGCTTCCTTTTTCACTTACAGAATTACTTTTTAAAAAGTGCTCACAACCTTTTCCTCCTATTTAAGCAAGACAGAATATTCCTTGTGAACTTCATGGGGCTTCACTTTGTTCTCCCATCCTGACCTACCCCAGGAAAGAAACTACCTTAAGAGATGGCAGCAACCAGAAGTGTCCAAGGAGAGGCACAGACACACTTGCCTATGCCTCAGGCTGAAGAGAGCCCTAGGTGAGCACAATCCACTCTCACTTGCTCCTTTGATCCCACCAGCACACTAACCAGAGAAGCTGAAGTGGAACAATGAGGGCTCTTAAATATGGATTAGAGAAAGCTCTTGAACACTTTCCATACTTGGGTGCAGAGAAAGGGATGAGCAGTCCAGTGAGAAATTCCTTCTTGTCTCCTGGCTGTCTGCATACACAGGAGCTCAACATCACAGGAAAGGGGCTACAAAAGCACCAGCCAACGCAGCAACACCAGCGAGAAGTGGCTGCTGTTCACGGCACCCCAACGGGCAGAGCTGCCTCCGTTCAACACAAGGTCTTACAAAGCGCAAGACCACGTGAAGGAAATTGCAGTCAGTGGCTATTGCACACTGAGGAAAACAAACATTAGAACCAGGCAACAGACCAAAAGGCAGAACAAGAAAGTCCTACCGAAAGCCCCAAGCACGCTCATCCATCTGGCACGACCTCCCCATCCCACTGTTCTCAAAGCTTTAGTCCCATTTGTTGTTACGCACAGATCAGTTACTCTCCAGAATTTCTCAGCAATGTTTATGCTGAGAAATGCGACCAGGACCAGAATCACTAGAAACAAAAGTGAAATCTCTGACCCTTTCAAGGACTTTCTGCTGTCAGAGCACATCTGCTGTAGGACATTTAGATGTTTAGGTAGATTTGTGGTCCTCCAGCACTTCTGAATATTGCTGATCTTGGCTCAGTATTATCCACGACCCCAGTTTTACAGCCTTTGCTTTCCTGTGTAAGGGTCAACACAATTTTCTAGAAAATGACATTTCCGGATAGTCCAGGTAACATCAATTTTATCACTATGAAGAGCTCTGAAGCTTCTGCATGTTCCAGTAACTCACCAGTGCAAGCGAAGAGCGTGGAGAAAAGCAGACAGGCCCTCCATGACCAGGAGAATTGCTACTGTCAGGGTAGCGAATGCAGCAAACACGAAGAAGAGGCCAAAGGCTCCACCCAGGCTCCTCACGCTGAGGCCAACGTGGATCACCATGGTCCAGAGGACCTCTGAGAGCTCTGCCAGGAGAAAGGGGAGAAGAGGGCTCATTTCAGAGCATTCAAGAAGGGAGAGTTTTGTTACAGCTTACTTGTAAAGCAAAAACTGAAGTCAAGCAAGCTCCCACTACAAGAAGCGGTGGAAAATTCAGAGGGACAACAGTTTTTGCAGCCAAGTACATTAGGACATTGCCTCCAACTGTCGTGCAGTGTGGGGCAGAGTCCTGGCACAGCAGCTCTTTGGTTTATTCAGTGCTTCCCACTCCTTCAGACTTAATTACTCCCAGCTAATGCACACACAGCTCTGTCCTCCAGCAGCGCTCGACGGCTGGGCTCCGAGGAGGCCACTCGCACGCCTGCCCTCCTCCTCCCGCCTGCCCAGGGGGATCAGAGACACAGACCCAAACCTCCATTCCGCAGGGAACACTCACGTGCGTGGGCTAAGCTGAGAGCCCAGAGCCTCAAGTAGGAGGCGGTGTTGGAAATGCAGCCCAGGCAGTACTCGATGGTGTGGATGGCCTGGTACACCACGGTGTCGCCGAAGTCGAACTGCAAAGGGAACACGGGAAACGGCGAGCGCTGCGAGCCGCGCCACAGCACGGGCTGGCCAGCGGGCGACAACGAGCGCGCTGCCCGCTGCTCCGGCCAAGGACAGCGTGTTTGAAGTCAGACACTGACCCTGCCTTCTCCTGGTCTGGCACGTCAGTTTTACAAAGGAAAAGGGAATTCTCTTGCCTTGCTAGGTTTTGTAGCACGATAGTTCCCTGCTGCGGCTTGAACGTTATTGTGTCACGTTCTAGCAAAGAAAGTGAGATGTTTCAAATTCGGCCATGGACTTTGCCAGGAAAAGACTGTTCAGCAACAAAACGTTACTTGTGAATTTACTGGTAAATTGTACCTACTGCTACAAAAAAGGAGACAGTATTCCAAGCCCGTACTGCGTATGCACCTTGGCTACAGGATCAACAAGAACGTTTTGCAAGATACGAACTTGCCCTTTTTGAAAGCAAAAAATAATGCACAAAGCAATCTTGACAAAGACACATCTGTGCACCATTCATTGGCAAAGTCTCTGTGTCTTGGTAATTTTTCTGAAATAATAAAAGAACAACTTATAAGGAAGTCTGCCATGTAGGACAGCTTCTTATTTTGCAGCTTGGGAAAGCATTCCCTACATTTTGGATTTAATCCATGCTTCAGAAACTGCTCATATTTAAGTGGACACGATGTTTTAAATACACCAAGTGACTAATGCTCTAAGTATGCAAAGAAAGCTATTTATATTCTTATTTCTCCCCTAGCATATGCAGGGCAATAAACATTTCAAACAATTAAGTTAAATTAGCTGTCAAAAGCTTAATTCTTTCTCCGCAGAATGTGAACTGCCAAGTTCTTGAATAAAGCCTGCCCCAGTGAACAGTACCACCTCCCAGCACACCTGGCAAGTCAGTATGCCCTAAATGGAACGTGACAAATATTTGAACGACAATTTACAGCCATGTGCAACTGCTGGAGAGAGTTACCACTATGTGAGGGAGTGGGAGAATCAGCAGGATTGCTATGGCACAGGATTTGCAGTTTCTCACACTTTTCACCGGTTTAGTGATGTATAGAATTACCAGGTACGCCAGCACACCGTTTCCACACACCTCTCAACGCTAGATGGACCTATGCATAACAGGTCTCTAAGCAAAACCACCTTCAGCACAATTCACAACAGCATCACTGTTGTGAAGCTACTCTAATTTCATGGCATTTGTATTTTTTGTAGTAAAATTGGTTACCTGATAGCGCTGAAACCTACAATCAATCCTGCATGAGTATTCCTAAAAAAATGTTTCTCTAATACTCAGGCTTGTCACAAGTGTTTATGAATGAGCAGTTTCTCAGAACGAAGCTTCCTTTTACAGAAACATAACGGTAAGTTAAGTTGAACTGTATGAAACTGAACTGGTTTTGCTGTCTTTACTGACTGGCAACAACCAGTATCATCCTTGAAATAGTAGATAGCTTGAGAAAAACTATCTTTAAACAGTTTGTTGCAGTGTAGAATTACCAAAGACACAACATAAGGCAAACGAGGCTTCTTAGAAGTTTAAAAGCAAAAACTTTTCAGTTTCAGACTTCCAGCTTAACAGCTTTCCAGGTAAACTAAGAGATCTGCAGACAGGGGATAAGACAAACAAGCTGTACAGATGAAGCAATTAAAGGTCTGTTAATGGGCACATGTGTATGAAGATTTAAAAATGGCCTGTGACATGTAAATAGCTAGATCTTTTGCAAAACAGGATGTCGTGACACAACGTGTTCAATTCAGCATGTGTTTTACACCAATGGGAAATGGTCCAGATACACATGAATGCAAAGCTGGCTGTAGTCTTACCACCTCATCCTCTGTAGGCTTGAAAACATAAGTTTGCATTTAGTGCGGTGTCTCGATCACATTAATCATGAACACATCCAGTCTCTCCTAAACACGACACAGTAATGCAGTAACACATCACATGCACTACAGGGGCAAGATGCTGCTGGAGATGCTACGAGGTATCAGAGCACACCCAAACTATGTGAGATGGACTCCTTTTCTTCTCTACCAGAGGTAAGGCAAAGCAATTAATATTACCTCCAACAGTCAAAATGAACATATAAGCAAGATTTCACTGCTGCTGGATTTTGGTTCACACTGGAGAAGCGAGGAGCACAATGGCACTGCACCCCAGCCAGAGCACAAGCTGCGTGTGCCCTTGGCAGCACTGTGCAGCTCTCGCCCTGCAGCCCCTAAGATGATGGTTCTTTGTAATGGGGACAAACAGAGCCCCGTTTCCCTGTATATGCAAATTACACTGCTTTTCCTGGAGTCCTGGGAAAGACCAAGAGGCACTCTGTATGAAAACTGCTACGAAAACACTTAACTGACAAAGTTGCTATGTAGTTTTAAGCAGCTTGGGAATCAGTGAGCACAGTCACAAAGCTGCATGTTCTGCTACCACGTGCACTGCCCCGAGAGGGGGGACGTCAGGCACTTACCTCTTCCCCCTCCTCGGAATGGGTAGAAAGCTGGTCATGCTGAATGATCTCAGCATCCTCCTCAGTCGGGCCGTTGCCCACCCGGATCCCGCCGAAGTTGTGCGTTCCCTGACACGTGCAGAAAAAGAAAGAGCAAAGTGGTGTTTGTGCTGTACTTCAGGAGCGCGCGTTCCCTACGACTCCACGTGCAGCAGCAGCTCGCGGAAGGAAACAAAATATTAAGGCCCAGGTTAAGGCAGCTGTACAGTGCTATTTCCCAGCTCGATGGGAAAGATGCTGATTCCTGCTAGGGCTGGGGGAAAAAGTCTGTCTGAATGAACATCCGATACACTGTGAAAGTGTATGGGAGTGACACACATATCCAAGTGAAAGACAAGGCACGTCTCCCGCACGTGTCTGCTGGCACTGAGGTGCAGCAGAGCAGCGTGGTGCTCAGCTGGACACGCACCGAACCACCACGGCTGTTAAACCAGACGAGTCACGTAGCGGCGACTCAGAGCAGAACGGACACAAACACACGGTCGCACACTCGCTCCTCGCAGCACCGGCCGTACTCACACCACACATGGGAACTCAGACTTTCCCTTACTTGGAAGTTCTACCTTGTGCAAGCAGTTCCTTTTTTAGACATCTGTTCTGACGCTCAGCATCTGGCCCTCACCCCTAACTCCGCTGTGCTCCAAACACAAACGAATAATTCGCAAACTGAGCTGACACTTGGATGGAGTCAGGCGTTCCTCTCACCTGACAACTGCAATCACTGCACAGTTACGCCTGGTTTACGCCAGGCTCCCTCCTGCACATCGTCCTCCCACCAAGAAAGGATGCACGAACCTGTTTGGCCATCTGGCAGTGCCCTCCTGCAGAGCTTTCATGCACTGCACAGCAGATTTCTGCTCAGCGAGCAGGGCTGTGCACTGCACAGCAGATTTCTGCTCAGTGAGCAGCCCTGTGCACTGCACTGCGGATTTCTATCTCGCTCCAGATGCTCCAAAGACAGAAAATGCTCGTGACTGATCTGAGCTATGATAAATTAGGAGCTGCGAGTCTGACCCACCAAGAGAGGCAAACTGGGAAGTCACAAATGGAAAGAAAAGCCCTGCACTCAGCTTCAGCACTGCACTGTCACCTGTGACACGGAACGTGAATGGGCTCACTCGACACATTAAGACTTCGGAAGCTGAGGGATGACAGTGCAAACCCAGGAGGGTGAGACCCTGCGACCTGCCTGCTTCCACAGCGCATCACTCCGGCACGCCAGCGGAATGGCTGCTCCATGTTCTCAACTGATTCGTTCTTAGAAGCCTGCTTTTATTTTAGGCTGAACTATAAATTTGCCTAAAATGCCAGATATAAATTAAAGATTTTGTCAGGTTTCTAAAAATAAATTAGGTAGATGTTTATGCTCTGAAAATAGAAATAAAATTAAAAAGACAATGCCTTTATTAGGATTTTCAGCATCTTAGAAACATTACAAGTTACTGATGACTAGCATCAATATTCTATTTACGTATTTCCAGCCTGTGTGAGTTTGTACTTTCGCAGCTTTTCCCTCACACTCGACGTGCATCTGTTCTCTGCAAACCATTCAGTCTAAACACGGCTCCAAAAGCTCTGACCGTTTACTTGATCCTTCTAACCACACCCCCTACAAAGACCGTCCTCACAGCTTCTTGTGCTGAGATGCACTTCATACGCCGGATGGATCAAGCACAAAAGACCCATTTTCGTTTCTGCCCTTTCCGTGAGGCTGTTTGAAGTGCCCCGGCAGAAACGCCGGCCAGCGGCCGAAAGCGCCTTTGCCGTGTGGAGCACACAAAGAGCTTCGCGGAGTTTGTCAGAGTTCGGCTTCCCCGTCCGGCAGCGTCCACAGCTACAGCCAGGTTGAAACACGCAGCACTGGGGAAGGGACAAAGTTCTGGGAGCTGCTGCAATCGTCACTCCACCAGAAAGGCTTTGGCAGTAAAGGGCTGTCTACAGGCTTAGACACAAACAAGTGGAAAAAAACCACTGAGAGGCTTATTTGTGCGCAACCGTTTTCTAAAAATTTCAAGTCTGCGTGTCTACAAGGGCACAGGCATCAAAAAATCCAGTAATTACTGACAGGAGGTCGGTGGGGGGCCATCACAGAAACATGGTGTTTGGGAACACACAATGCAAACAGAAACGCTTCGCTGAGAAGAAGCCTCATCTATCTTAAACAAATATGCAAGAAAAGGAGAAAAGGGGAACTTAACCTGGGGGAATGTGGTAGCAAGATATTCTTGTGCTGCTCTGCAGGTCTGGATTTCAGCAGCACTCCTGCAAAGCAGTGTCTCTGCATTCTGGGCACACATAACTACTGTCCTTCAGCCTGGTAGCTCTTCCAGAATGTATCAACTTTGCTGAACTTTGCTCTTTCCAAGAGAAAGTGTTTTTCACCCTAAAGGTGCAGTTGTCATTCCCTTACGAAATTCAGATACATTCCATGCTCTCTTGACAATTAGATAGAAAGGCAGCTCCCATCTTTAAATCCATCAGGTGATTTTTAGATCCACTCACTGTTGCAGCCGCTGCTGCCTCTAGTGCCTGCTCGCTCGGGACTGTGCTGACTTGGGCCTCCACGGGCTGCCCTTCCTGATAGGGAATGGAAGAAGAGAGAGGGAGGAGGAAGAAAACAAAAAGAGAAAGGGAGACGAATGGAGGGGACATGGGAGGATGAAAGATGGTCAGAGAAGGGAGAGGGAGTGTCTTTAACTGAACTGATCTTCGACTCACTTAACATCCTACAAGCTGTCTGCCATACATGCAGGGAGAATTTTCAAGTACCCTCAGTGCACATGTGCCAGGTTCCTTTACATAAAGATACTTTACAGTATAGCTGGAAACCTAGAGAGTACCCGAGAAGACAACCTCTCACAAAATGACTGCATAAGTCTATTTTTTTTTTTCAATTGTTATTTTTCAGCATCCAAAGTGCTTTACAAAGATGGCTGATAAGCCTGGCAGCCAATTAAGCTCACATCTCTGCTTTTACGTCGTCAGCCTCGTGAAGGCACAGAAGTGCATCCAGCAACTAGTAAGACAGTGTTCCTAAATCAGCTGACAGAGCCCAAGCCAGATACACTGGTTTTATCATTACCAATATACAGGGTTTTTTAAAGCAGATTTGATGCTGGATCCAGATCTGAGAAGCAGGCAGGCAATTACTTTGTCTCCAGTAAAACTCACCTCCCTTAATGCCTAGGAACATGCAAAAACGTTTTACAGTCACAGTGCAGCGTGAACCTACGTATCCAAGATCAAGATGGAGAACACAGCTTTTCAACCGTGGTTAGTTTTCATATTGAAAATATAAGAGTTGGTCACCCACCAGGTGCTTTCTCCTCAAATACTGATGGCGAAGGACCAGGGGTTTAGCTACCAGCATCCATGGCACACACAGCAACGCCACCACCACCAGGAAACACTGGAGCCCTTGCTGTAAAAGAAAAAGTCCCAGATGGTTTAGTGGCAGTCCATGCTCCATCACACACAAAAAACCTCACAAGAGGTCTTACGGAACACTGAATGACTGAATTCCCAGAGCCCTGGATGCTCCTCTCTCTCTCTCTCTCCCCCCTGGGAACAGCAGGATGTGCTGTACTTAATGCCCCACCTGACTGTACACAGCATGGAACGCTGACACTGGTTTAGAAGAAGGAAAAATCGAAAAGATTCTGCAGGGAATGAGAATTTGACAGATGTCTGATAGTGCTGGGAGGAAATGGCATTAGCATCTTAGCTAAGCTTAGAGGCACCACGCTGCAGATGCAGGACAATATTCCTAATCACTTTCCACTTTAATCTGGATCTAAACGTTCTGAAGCCACAGCTGGCTTAAGTTCGGACTGATATAAATTCCTGGTATAAGGATTATTCCTTCCTTCTTCAACATTACATAGTGTCAGGCTTCAGAAACAATGCATTTCCTCTATCACAGAGCAAAAACGTTTCACGCTCGATTTCACAATTACTATAAAGTCAATATCATGAAGCATCTCTGATCTTATTCTAGCACGAGCACGCACCTGCCCTTTATAAAGCATCTTATTACTGGTGTCACCATAGGAGAACAGAAACATGTTGATAAAATGTATTAGAAGGCTCGGTGCATCCTTTGACGTGTGAGCATCATAGGCTGTCCACTTGTAGAAAATGAGAATAACAAGGTATCCAAACAGTGACGTCATGAAAATAATTTCTGGAATAAATCCCAGGTATATGTTCAGTGGCTTCTTAAAATAGCTACAGGAAAAAAAAGAAAAAGGAAAGTTTAACATTACATTTAGCATTAGGCATATGTTTTAATGAGAACACGAAGAGCATCTTCAAACAAAACTGCAGGGGCTCAGTGTTTCAACCACAGTTCCACACACGCAGGCAGAAACAACCACACTGCACCCTTCAACGACAAGTTAAGGTCTGATGGACTCCTGCACCTTAAACCACCACACATCACAGCCAAAGTTCTCCCCCCCAAGGAAAACAGAGCAAAGCACTTACATATGGTTGAGAAGACTCAATGTGACACCAAAGAGCATGTGGATAATGCCAAGAATCACAGACATTTTCATCTTAAACGAATTGAGGAAGGCCAGCTTATTGCTGGCAATATTCCAGATCTGCGAACAACAGCACCGAGTCAGCCACACACCGAGCAAAAGAAAACCAGGAGAACAAAGACGTTCACATTAAGCTAAAGAGTATGAACCAGCCAGGAAGTACCAGGCTGTAAAAGCAGTTTAATTTAAAGACGTGTTTGTCACACAGATATCTTTTGGGGAAATGAGCAGACAGCCTTTTCTGCTGGCAACACTGTCTTACAGCCACTGATCCCACGATCAGAGCAGGAATCAGACCTTGCTTGTTTTTATGGCAGGCAACAGTTGCAGGAAAAAGGGGGCTGTATCCTTGACAGAAATAAAATATGATTATCCATTAAAATGTACACACAGTTCTGATTTTCTGCACTTCCTTTTTAACGTGGAACACACACCAGTTTAGCATCAAATCTTCTGAGCAGTTTTAGGAACAGCGTTACTGATGTAGGCAGAAACAAAATGACAGGATTACTGGGAAACTTACATTTCCAAGACTGACTGAAAAAAGACACAAACAACTTTCCCTAAGGTAAAAAAGTAACTTCATAAAGTGATTTGCAAGTCTAACCAGATTTGATTAAAGCCCTGCAGGTTAGAAAGGGTGAGAAAGAACCCTTTAATGGACCTGAGAACAGGTCTCTCTATCCTGAACCTTGCCTCTCAATAGGAACTGAATTAATTTTACCGTTCAGGAGTATTTCCAACATGGATAGTGAGTCTGCTAAAGGAATGGCTGGGGCGTGGAAATATTTCACAGTGAACTGGACAGGTATTTTTCTTTCTGTTGACACAGAGGATGTTCTTAAAGGACAGTAAAGGAAGGAAGAGCTCTTACTGGGTCAATGCCAAAGGGGTAGGGTCCACCAAACACCCCTGGAATAGCAGGGTTCAGTTGAAGCAGAGGAGTAGTCTCGAGCAAGGCATCTCTGTTTGGGTACAAGTAGATTACACAAACATTAACACCAGCAACGTTGTCCTCTTTCTGTAAAACCTAATGACATTCTTCCCTGTGAGAGCAAGGAATATCTCAAATTGAGAGAACGTTAAGGTTCCTGCGTGGTCCTAGAGATTTTCTGAATGAATAATAAACCTGTCTCTTGACCTTTAACTCAGTGTCACATGGAAGAGAGATGAGGAGGACAGGAATTTTGCTATGTCTATGAGGAGAAAGGTGCTAAACTGCATCTTTACAAGTTTTCTGGGGAAAAAAAGCCAATTTGAAACTTGATAGATATCAAATTTACACCCCTCTTCCAATTCTTCTTGAGACTGAGTTCAGAAGTTTTTGTTTCCTGAGTTGGGAGGACAACGGGGCAAGAGAATTCACCTGTTTATCACTGTCACTCTTTATCTAGTTACTAACTATTTACTCACGACCAATTGCCTTTTGAGAACATCGGCCGGACGCTCCAGGATGATCCGAACATATTAAGAGACTTGGAGAAGCAGTCGTTGTAGATGAGGCCTGTGTAAGTGGAGAACAGCCCCATCAGCAGAATGATGTATCGACCATTAAAAACCATGTTGAACATCTAGTATAAAAAAAAACAAATAAACAAAAAGGAACAAAGAAAGTCCATGAGAACAAGGAAGGACTCTCACAAAGACGAAACAGTAAAATCGGTCAGTGGCAGGAGAAACGACGTCGGCCATATGGACCAAACGCCCAAAGTCTCTACTTCCCCATGGCAGGATTAAGGGTGTGAGAGGCAGCACCACACAACAGAATCTGAATTCAGAGGACAAACGGGCAGCCTGACTGTCCACGGAGAATCTGGGATTAGCTCAAGAGGATAAATTGCTCGCAGCTGGCAGCATTAGCTTGGAACCAGGCAGTGCAGGCCCCGTTCAGCGTTCTCCATGCTCCGTCAATGTATCCTAACTCTGGTTCACCTGCTGTCAACCCAAGCCCCTGAGCAAGCAAACCCCACCTAGGTCAGCAAATAGGAAGAATCTTGGAGATATGATATACATGTACAGAAATTAGGAGTTCTGCAGTGACTGAACCCCTTCATGATCCAACCAAGTTCTGGGTGATTCATTTACAGCGGCTTATCTACTACGATTGATAAACAATTTCCTTCAAACAACTGAAAGGAATCACTTCCTATAAACATCTGAAAGGAAAACCAAAGGAACTCACTACTACTATGAAATTATGCTACTCAGTCTGTGGTCTACAGACTTCTCAGTCTGTGCCTCACAACTTTCACAGGTAAGGAGTGAGGGGCACTGCTAGCTCGGGGGGGGAGGAGGTGAGTACGCCAAGCTGCAATCCTTTGTTGTAAAGGCAAAGCTCAGCACGACCTGCCACTTTACCTCATTGTCGCTCTTCTGCGACAGAAAACGACTCTCCCTAAACACCACCCAGACAGCAATCAGAGTCATCAGGATTCCATGGCCAAAATCTCCAAACATCACAGCAAACAGGAACGGGAAGGTAATGATCGTATAGGGTGCTGTAAGAGAACAGACGACACGCCTAGTGCCTGCATTTGAGCAAGCCCAGATTTATCACAGCATGCAATGTGGCAACACAACTCCCCAGCTTCTCCCCTACTCTGCACGGTGTTAAGTACTCCATTAGAAATTTTCACACAGGATAGACAACACGGAGAAACATTGTGACTGAAAAATCAAGATACATGTATTGGACTTTCGTAAGTAGGAATCTACCTGGATTTATTTCTCGATATGTTCCAATGCCGTAAGCGTCAACGATGTTTTGAAAGCCAGCCGTAAACTTGTTCGTTTTGTTGTACGTTGGTGGGGTCTGATTGGTTTGCATCCTGTTTAAAATAGATGGCACAGTGGATCCACTGTGCTCCTGTTGAAAAAAAAATAAAGAAGTATTAGAAAACCCATCCTCAGAGCACCTGGAGGGCAGAATAAACCACTACTTTCTCATTAGCATTTGGAAACCTACAAGTTTGCATTTTTGAAGTGTGCTTGCATGAAGAAGAAATACACTTGAGCAGCTGAGGAAGGCTCCCAAGTTTCCACTGCTCTCCGTTTTTATAGCAGGAGGAGAAGCACTTGTAGTAAGGATGAACATTGTCTGATTAGGACAGACAAGAAAACTCATGCAAGAGTTTGTGTTTTTAAAACAGCAAATTAAAGGACTTCAAGACACCCAACTCCACCATCTGTCTGAGCAGAAGGCAAGCTTGCTAATATCCTCGACAGCTCCTTTTAATAAGTTCCACTATAGATCCAAAGAGCAGGACTACAAAGCACAGCCACGTTAACCGAATGTACCAAAGGGCTCCAACACAGGAAAATCCCTTTTTGTTACAGCCTTTTCCTGAACTTAAAGACACAACGTATTTGTGACAAGGTTTATCTATAGGCCGTGATTTCTGCGTGTCAAATCGACTGTCCTCTGTAAGGACTGATTCAAACAGCCTAAAGGGATGGTTTTCCAGAGACCGGCAGTTGGAAAAATCAATGAATCCATGCTGTGCCGACGGTTGTTAGTCTGCTTGAAGAGCAGCAAAGAGCAGCACAGCAGTTACTCACAGTGCCCCTCCTGAGAGCAAACTGGATCGAATCGAGGTCAGCGACAGGACACCAGACTTCAGCAATCAAGCACTTCTGTGTCACATCGATGTTGCACAGGTTCAGGGTGTGGTAGATGGCCTTCATCTTGCGTACTTTGATGAACCAGACGCGGATATTTTTAGCAGCTGCCTGCAAAACCCTTTGGCGATGATCCTCTGTTTGGTTCAGCACCTTTCACAGAGAAGAAGGACAAAGATGAAGCAAAAGCTTTAGACAGAACTCAGACACAGAAGCGTACGGTGAAACAGGGCTGACCAACATGACGAGCCCTCTCCCCCATCCCCTGCACAAGACTGCCACGTGCCTGCAATACATGCTTTAGTCTCCAAACTAATTAGTTCTGCTGAAAGGTCTTAAGGCTTCTTTTCAGGAATACTTTTTGACGACTTTCCTCCCCTGACTCCAAGATCAGTGGATATTTCAAACAATGAAATGTTCAGAGATCACATTTTTTCCTCCACCCAGGTTAAAAGAGCAGAGCAGAGTTCTACAAATGAGGTGCACATTGCCTCAAGAAAACACACAAAGACTACAATGAAAGACTGTTCTGCTGAAGGGAAAAGGAAAAGGTATTTTCCAACTGGAATATATCTAACTCAAGCCAAGTCAGATTTCCAGACTGGAAAGTCTTAGACTCAAGGGAAAGCAAGGACACAGGGCACATGCAGCTTTGAATTCTACCAGCTGAATTGCTTCTGAGTTCTTGTCTACTTTAAAATTACTAAACAGCTGCACTACTCAACTCCCAGCCTGAGAGTTTCCGTATCAAACAAGCAGTCCAAATTCAATCACTTTTCCTTTTAGCCTTTTCTCAAATCTCTTATTTTTTCTGCATTATAACATACTGCCTTTCTTCCTTCAAGCAAGCACCAAATATTTCAGAGCTGGCACTCAGTAGTTTTGTGTGCTGATTACTTTTTACCAACACTCAGGCTGCTGCACAAGAGATTAGCTGTAAAGCAGAAGCTCTTCAGGAGCGCATAATGTGAAAATACGAAGACAGGCAGAAAAAAGAACAGCTAGGTTAAAGTTAGCATTGTTATCTCAACTTAGAAATAAGTTTAAGTGTATTCAAAGTTCTTGCAGATGAAACAGGCAACTACACAAGCATGCTTTTAGAGTCAGAAAACACAGTATCTCCTTACACATGCATATTCCTCTCTGCTCCCTGGCACGTAGCTCTCTATCGATGCTGTACTTACATGTATATAATTAACTGCTCAGCCCTCTAGAAAGATCAAACCACCCCACCACCCTAAACCCTGACAAAGAAAACAACTGAGCAGACAGTCTCCAAACATCTTTCTGGCACTGCTGAGCTGCTGGTCTCAAGCTACCTGGAGCTTAAAATATGGTCATCTAATAGGACCAAAAATTCTCATGTTTTAATAGGATCCAAAGATGTTTTCAATTTTATTATTAAAGACAAAAAAAATATAAAAGGGCATTGACCCCAGTTATTTTACCATCTGAAGATCATCAATTCTAGTATTGACACCAGAAGCCATTTCTTTCCGCTCCTGCGGTGTTTCTGGGCAGGGGTAGAGGGAGGCACGGAATCTGAAAGACATGCAAGCCACCTTAGTAACAGAGATGGAAAGGGAAATAGATGGCTGAGACTGAACACAGAAATAAAGCAAGCACCATAAGAGAAGTTTCTGATCAGCAAAGACTGCCAAGCAGAGCTTCAGTCTTTAAATAAAGCGGGTACAGAAGCTTGCTTTAGGCCAAAACAGAAGCTGAATGCTTAAGAAAATGGAAGTGGGAGAAAATCCTCTGCTCCCCGTACTGACAGCGTCTCAAATGTACTGTCACAGAGTTGATTAACCATCCCAGTTCAGGGTGCTGCTATCATGCCAATGCAGCCACTGCTAGAAGCAGTCACTCCGGGTCTCCTGTGAGAATATCACCCGCTGACATCCCAACAGGCCTGTCTGAGAGTTCACCACTTCAACTCCCTTGGTTTTAGGCATTCTCTAGCAAAGCACTCATCTACTTTGAGCATTACAGGCTTGGGGAGTGGCTAACTAGACCATAAAATATGGTTCAGCTACTTATGGTATGTTTTATTTACTGTCGAAACATGTACTCCTACAGTCACTGTGAAATAAGGAGTTGAAAAATATCCATATTCAGTCACATCAATGCTTTTCAAGTATTTGAGAGCTGCCCGGCTGTAAAACTTTCATACCCTTCACATATCTTCTTGACTCTGTTCTTCAACTGGTCACCTTGGAAAAAGATGATAAACACAGACTTGTGCACATAATCCCCCTAGAACAGAAGAAACAGTGTACTGTAACAGCTCAGCTACTTACCGAAATTCGCATCGCAGCAACTTACAACAGTTCTACTTTGCTGTGTACATATAGAGCTCTACCTGCACAGTGAGTCCAGAATGCACCTTAGCAACACTGAAACAGCCACAAGGAAAGCAATTTTCTTAGCCTCAGTAGAGGACATCCCTACCGAACTCGTGTTTACTGAAGCTAAATGTTCTAGATGATCCGAGATCTATTCTATGTCATACAATGAACAGGAAAACCTGGGAAGATCTCCAACAGCACAGAGATGCAACGAAATATTTATCAGCACTTACTGCAGTCAGCTCACCTACAAAGAACGAAGCAAAAAGCTGAAGTGTGAACAAAAATAAGATGAAGTGGAGTTTAACAACTTTGATTCTCCAGGGAGGCCAACAGCACATTCTTTGTACAGCTGTTTTCATGTTGGTAGCCAGGTCCCCTTTCCTGCATTTGTTGACAAGTTATTGTTCTACCTTACTTAGGAAATTTTAACATAATGTTTTAAGAATAATTACACTAGGTGTAACCTCAATTTAAGGAAGTGTGGCACAATAAGAACAAAGTCTCTCCTAGCAGACAGATAACTCAGCAGGTCAACTACCAGCAGTTGGCGGGACAGGAGAACAAGTCAGCCCTGCACGAGAAGCAGCGCGGCAGTTACTGAGCTGCAACTCTGCTGCTGTCGCTCCAGCGCAGCCTACGTGCAGCCCTTCTTTTTACTGGCTAAGAGCAAGAGTTCCCAAAGTTTGGGCATCGTCCCTTGACTCGAGCAAAGAGGACGCTGAATGTAAAAACAGGCCCAATCACAACATTTACTATTTATATTTGTAACAAAGCCAACAATTCTCAGGTGGATGTTTGAATTAATGACCTACGGACGTCACACTGCTCGTGTCCAGAAGAGCCTGTTTCGTGGAGCATCACTGCTTATTCAGAGCTGCACACCGGAGTTCCCTCAGTGCTTTGTGCCAGAGAAGCAACTACGCCCTGCTGCAGTCCAAATTTTGAGGTTTTTTTTCCCCTTTCAACAGCATTCACCATCCATCCTGCTATTTTTATTTTAATAAAGCAGGAAAATGTTTGTCACCAAAGCCTCAGAGGCTGCAAACAGGTACCGCGAAGGGATGCGACATTTGTGTTTGCCTGCACGGAGGCCGCTGAGGGATAGAGGCCCAGACTGACAAGAAAATCCTTTCACACATCTGAGACTTTAGCTGCTGCAAACCATCGTTCCTTTTACCGTTACAGGATCCTCCAGGGGATTTTCAATTTCTGCTTGGCGCAAGAACACGTTCCCTCGGCACACGCGCCACAGCATGCGCTCAAACATGGGGATGCGCTCACGGTTGATCACGCCAGCCACAAACCTGCGAAGGGGACGACGTAAATTTAAGTTCTGCACCTGAAAGAGTACATAGCCTAACTCCCAAAACACTGATGGCCACGGGAGTTTAGCATCAGATTGAAAGTTACCAAAAAAAAATTAAAATCTTGTTTTGAAATTAGTTCTTTAAGCAAAATGGAAGGTCCTCTGAACACAGAGATAAAAACACAACAAAAATGGCTGCACTCTAGCACAAGCTATGTCTCTCAACAGAAGGAAATAATCTATTTAAAAAAATAAATAAATCGCTGGTTAAAGGAGAAAAAATGCCTTTAGACATACAGTTTCTATGCCTGCTAGTCTTCACTTCAATAGGTTCCTGGTACACTACACGGCCAAGATCGCAGCGGTCACGGCCACCACTGGCTATGTTCTAGGCACGTGCTTCAGAAGACTTCTCTGGTTCAAACCCCGATGGCCAGATAAAGAATTACACACACAAAACAGCCTGGAAGCAGCTAATAAAGAGGAAGGGAACTGTGTGGACTTTTCAGGGTATTACGTGCCCACAGTAGTTACTAGTTGCAACAAAGCTGTGAGAGCTCAGAATGTCTGAAAAAGCAAAGAGAAGAGATTTACAAGAAACAAGCTAGCATAATTCTTTGTGCAGAGAGAAATGCGTGAAGCACAAACAAGAACTGGGAAGTTAATGTACACAGGAGAAGAACAGAGACCCACAGCTCGTTTCGGATCAGCCTTCATCTGCTCGATGCGCCAGTCTGGAAAGTTCCACAACCGCGCTCCGTCCGTGGCCGATTCCACGGGCTGCACGGGAGGCAGCAATCCCACAGCCAGACACAAGAAAGCACAAACTGCATTACCCAAGCCGCAGTGGGGCACCTCTTCCCATCTCGCTTGGTTCCAGGAGTGAAGAGGATTCCTCCAACAGGTCTGGATCCGCCATCTGCTGATGATGCAATTCAGCCTGAATTCACAAATCAATTAATATCTAATGAAACTAGTTAGTGGCATGCAGGGAATGAGGAACCAGGAGACAGTTTGGGGAGACAAAAAAGAAAGGAGAAAAAAAAAAAAAAAAGAACGAACAAACATAAGATAGCGGAAAGAGGAACTGGATGATAGAGAAGACAGCGAGAATCACACGAGGAAGGAGAAAAACAAGAGGAAAGGTGGAATGGCTCAGCAAAGCTTCAATACAAGAAAGGTCTGAAGATTGCTGCCACAGAGCAAAGGGGCTGTGGGATATATAAGTCTGAAGAAAGGCAGAACTCAAAAAACTTGACCGAGTTTTCAACACGAGCGATGTTCCCAAGAACCGTTTTTAATGGCACAAAACAGCCACACACTCTACTCCCATCTTCCCCTCAGTCCTACACGGAGAAAGACGCGCAGGCAGACGTGGCTTCCCTCGTGCACCACTCGTGCGTTTTCCGCACGACAGATGCCACAGGTGTGCCCAGGAGGTGCCTGGGAAGCACACCTGCATGGCAAGCAGCCCGTGGGTCTGCGAGCCGCGCACGGACGGCCCAGCGGCTGCACGGGGCTGTAACCCCACCACCAGTTACGTGAGACCTGCACGTCCCACACGTGCCAGTCAGACACGCTCCAAAGCAAAGGGAATGCCTCATTCCTTTCGGAATCACGTGACAACAGTTCACTGATTACACGTTAATTGCCACATCAGCGTGATACAGCGTCAGTATCAGTAACAAAACCTGGAACTACTGGAGGGTAGTTTATTTTACTGGCTTTACAAAGTTCTCCCTCCACACATCATTCTTCCTTCTTAAAAACATGCCTACTGATTAAATCTGCTCATTCTTCAGGATATTAATCCTCATTCACTGCATCTGTCATTGCCAGACACACGAGATGCATTGCTTAGGGCAGTCTGACATCACTCATTTTTTGACTACCCAGGCAATAATACGATGTGGATTTATACTGCCCTTCTTTGCAACCAATTTACAGGCTAAAATTCTTGGGAATATAGCTTGTAAGTGTCAGCAATTCAGGTCAGGAAGGATGCTCAAATCACACCCTCTTGTGCACTATTTTCATACTTTGTTCAACCTCACACCACAGTTATTTCTACCTCTGCAGCTTATATAGTGAAATGATGAAAATTACAGTTCCTTAGCACAAAGAGAGGGCCAAATTCTACTCTCTGTGGTATACAGGAAGTCTTCCCCACAGAGCTATCAAGGAGACTCGCTAAAATACACCTGAAGGTAGAGTTTGACCCTAGAACACATAAAAAGCAAGCACACATCCAGTGCAGCCTTGCAAAAGCACATAGCAAGTTTAATGACTCAGCCATAGTTTCTTTATTTGTGCAAGAGTTGCATCATAATCTTAGTGAAAAACTCCACGACGTTTTGCTTGCAGGTCAAATACAAATTATTTGCCACATACAGGAAAAGTTTTTGCAAGGCTGACACCAAACGCAGCTCCATCGCTTGCACACACACTCGCTTTAGCTTACAGGTGTTGCAAAAGTAAGGCAGCCCTGAATTTCGTTCGGAAAGCCAACACGAAGGACTGCTGATCCTCTCAACTTTAAGGCAACTTGTTGCAACACCAAAAACCAAATAAAAATTTTACTTCATAGAGAACACAACCAAAATAAGAAAGATTGGTACTCCAAAACAAAACATACAGACCAAACATACCAGGGCTTATTTGATATCTAGATTTCAGGATGTTGAAAAACAATAAGATAAAGTTAAAATTTTCAGAGGCTTGTATTGTATTTATCAATAATCCAGATAGTCTCTGGGATAATTTTTGGGAGGTGCACCACGTTTTAGCATACGAAACATAAAAAAGAAGGATAGCATGTGTGAAAACTTTGAACTTGCCTCGCTTGAGAGAGTCGTTCCTGGAAATGTTTAATATTACCCCGACCCCTTCGGGCTGTGCACCCTTTCCTGAGGGGTCCTGCTTAGAGGGGGCGACATTACAGACCAAAGCATATAGAATAAACTGGGATTCGACCAGTTTTACTAAACAAGAGCTTTCTTACACAAGGATTATCTGCACAACAAAACCCTATGTTCTTTAAATTCATCTCTACTACTCTGATTTGATGGTCGTGCTCTTTCTAGAAAGGAAACGGCAGAGCAACATCAGCTCTGGCTCCGGAAGGATCACTAAAGCCCTGCTGTAAGATCTGACAGAAAGAAAAAATTGAGAGACTGTGGAAATGAAAGAGCTATCTGACCACAACGCAAAAACCACAAGACTCTAGTAAATTTACTTGGAATAAGCTTCCACCAGCAGCGAGTGAAATATCATAGTTTTTGTGAAGTATTTTTTACTACATCTCGGAAGAACCCAAGCATTTGCACGGCAGTAATTACAATGCGGGCCTTCCATTATTAAACATTTTTTAATTGCTTACTGTTCGCCCCGATCAGCACCCTTAATCCCAAGGCCTGGCGAAGAAGGTTCATTTTCCCTCCTCTTGACCACGGCTCCGGAGCGCGGCTCCCCATGCCATGCAATCCAAGCCCCTCCCAGTGCACGGACTAAACAGACGCCAATTTTCACAAGAACTAAAGAGGATTCATTTCACCATCTAACTTATCAACCCAGAGCCCAGACAGAAACGACAGATGCAAAACAAACAGAAAAAAGCAGATGGCAAGAAGAGTTAGAGGAAAGAGAGACAGGGGACTGCATGCCATTAACCATTACTTTTCCAGTCTTCTTTTACGCTCGCACTCTAGGCAAAGCTTTCAGAGAAATCTCTCCAGCTCATACTGTTCTTCATAAGCAAAGACAAGAAGACTGAGAAAAGGAGCATAATCATCAACATGGGATGTTGAAACAAGAAATGGCTACTTTGACCAGAGAGGTCACATGGAGAACAAGTGAAAAAGTTTTGCCATCCTCCCCCCCCCACCCCCAGCGCACAAGCTCCAGGGAGCAGAGCAGATGCCAAGTAAAAAACACTTTAGACAGTAAGCCATTTCTTGTGCAACTTACACTATGAGTAACACAATCTTAATCAAAAGTTATTGAGGTCTTCAAGTGTTGAAGGCACTGTGCGAATGACCGCACGAAGAGATGAAGCAGGCTGCAGGGGGCTCGGAAGTGCTGGACTAGCCCGGTCTCTCACGCACAGCTGCTCGCTGTTTACAGCGTGAACTGAAACAGTTTTAAATTTTCAACACTTACATTTCACTGAACTTCACGTGAGCTGCTCGGTTAGCTTTTACGTATAGCAGTACGTTTTATTTGTTGTATTTTGCTCTATTATTACAGAGAACAGTTATCAAACAGGAGCAGGTGCGTATCTACACTTTCCGTGGCCAGTCCGTTTCAGTTTGACGTGAGTTCGCTTTTGGGGGTGACCTGACATAGATTGTTTCAGTAGAAAATTGATTTTGGTCTTTAAATTTAGCATGACCATACTGTACTTGAAGAAAAGCAGTAGGCAGCTCTCACCAGAGAAGACAGCAATTAACAAAAAAGTGCACAGCACTGGCTGTACTTGGTTTTACTCAACACTCAGCTACAACAGGCAGGCAGTGGCACCTTAACACAGCTGAGTAATAGATTCTCAGGTTAATGCTGTTTCTCCAAGGAGACCCAGCAACTTGTAAGTGAACATTCAACACTCAAAGACAAGGGTTTTTTGTACTGAAACCAACCCCACAACCAATCAATCGATCACATGAGCAGCAGTATCTATGTCAGCAGTGACTAAGACTTGTGTTGGCACGGGAACAACCTTAATGCCTGAACAGGCAGCATCTTGTGCCAAAAAAACAAAACCAAACTGTTAGATAAACAGTCTGAAGTTTGCAGGAGCTCAGCGTTACCTGATCACAGCCTTTGTAAACACCAAAAGCCATATTCGTTAAGAACTCTTTGATCAAATCCTCAGATTAGATGAAACGGGACACGTACTCAACAAAAACATGACCTTACCGTTCTAAAAACCACGCAGGAGCTCTCTGAGAAAACTCCCTAGACTTTGAGATACTTAAGCTTTATAACAAAGGATTACACCTTCTCCCATGCAGACCTTTTGTCTGACATCAGAGGTCACGAATCTGACATCACGAATGACATCAGAGAGGCTTTTCTCAGGTTGAGTCAAAGAGTTGCCAGTTTCTGGCCTGGCTGGTATTTAACAAAACGTTGAAGATTTTAAATGGCTTTGCCCCAGAACTTACCTCTGAAAACTTTAGGGTTTGATCAAAGGCTCAAATCAATCAATCAATCAATAACTAATCTATCACTTCAGTGGACTTTGCACTATGACCCTAATGAGTAATCTCCACGTAGCACCTCAAAGGCTAAGGAGAAATTAAACTTGATTGTAATTCCTCAGTGCAAGCGAGGCATGGCTGCTCACCTGCACACTACCAAAGAAACTCTTACCCTGAAGATGATGCTTACTGTAGCACCAAATTTTTGGTCTGTTGGCGTGCTTCAAAAACTACTAGCATCTTAATGATTTGACACAGTTTTTATACAAATCATTGCTTAACTAAAAAAAGAGGTAAATCATGGGTAGCTATGTGTAACGCATGAAAAATGGAAAATAATTTGAGAAGCTTTCTTAAACAAAGCATAAAAATGACCCTGCTGTCCAAACCAGCAACGAAAAATATATTTGAGAATAAAAATGGTAATTTGTGCAAGAAGAACCAGCTGCCCCAGTGGTAAGCCACCCCCGGTATTCTGACCTCATCAAAAAATTGCTGAGTTTTACGCAGTATAAATTTTAACTCTGTCAGCTCCAAGAAGTTTCTCTTCAGGGCTTCCTGGTTTGTGTTGATTTCCTTAAGCTCATTTTCAATTTTCTCAAAGTTTGCCTGCAAGATGGGAAAAGAATAAGAAAGAAAAAGGACTTAATTCCATAAATAAGTGCTGTTAAGTCTATTAAAACAAGACAGTAGGCAAGACGCGGTACGTTCCCAAGCAATTTGCACACAAGAGCAATGCATCTCCAGTCTGCCACAGCACACAGGTCCAAACTGGTCACATTCTCTTCAGGCAACTTGAAACTTTCCACACTCACCAGTCTTTTATAACCTGGATTTATACAGCGTTCTTCAAATCACCGAAAACCTTCACAAACTTTATGACAGACCTGCCATAAACCACGCACTTCCAACAGTTTTTGACTCATTTAAATGGGCGAAATTTCTTTCACTTCTAACTGTATTTGGATAAATCCACAAGCAAAACAATGCTTCCGAACCAAAAATCAACCCGATGTGACCTAACAGAGGCAGCGTTTCGAGCGACAGCCGGGGACTACGCGCACGCGACTGCGCACACGACCGTGCAAAGGTCAATGCATCTTTGCCACCGATTTCAGCGGGCACCTCCTGACAGAGAGTTTCCATCTAGAGCCAAACACTACCTGAGTTTTAAGACACATCATTACCTCCAAATCAATCATGTCGCGTGGAAAAGGCACCTCTGGGTTTTCACCAGTGTCCATGATAGGAATATTTGCTTTTTTAATCTCCTTCTCAACAAACCCTGCAGAGACAACACTGTCAATGTTAACTAAGTGGATACTTCAGTGTCAGACTGTCACCGTAGCCTCCACCCAGCCCAGCTAGCGGCTGTGAATTGTTTCCCCTCCTATTCCAAGACCCTCTCAGTTGGTTAGAGCTGTCTTTCCAGCGGGGAGCGAACCCCTGGAGGCAGCCTGTCTGGCGGCACAGAGAAGGGCAGCCTGGACGGCCCCAGTCAGCGCCGCGTTTCCAAACGCTGCTCTGGTTTAGCTGCAGTGATTTCTTTCTGTAAAAGCCACAGAGTTTGAGGAAACAGCGAAGCTGTGGCTGCCCCACCCCTGGCAGTGTTCAAGGCCAGGTTGGATGGGGCTTTGGGCAACCTGGTGTAGTGGAGGGTGTCCTGCCCATGGCAGGGGGTGGAACTGGATAAGCTTCACGGTCCCTTCCGACCCAAACAATTCTGGGATTCTGCGATTCTGTATCAGAACCCAGAGAGCAACGTACGGAGCTTTCGGTCCATTTCTTCGCACCGCCTGACTTCGTTAACGAATTTGCGCTGGAACACGTTCACGTCCGGGTTCAGCTGCAGAGATAGACACGTTTCGTCAGCGACACCCCCCAGCGCGGCCG